GCCCCTGACACGTAGAGATGTGTCTTTCAGCCCCTGACACGTAAAGATGTGTCATTAAGCCCCTGACACGTAGAGATGTGTCACTCAACCCCTTACACGTAGAGATGTGTCACTCAACCCCTGACACGTAGAGATGTGTCACTCAGCCCCTGACACGTAGAGATGTGTCACTCAGCCCCTGACACGTAGAGATGTGTCACTCAACCCCTGGCACGTAGAGATGTGTCTCAGCCCCTGACACGTAGAGATGTGTCACTCAGCCCCTGACACGTAGAGATGTGTCTCTCAGCCCCTGACACATAGAGATGTGTCTCTCAGCCCCTAACACGTAGTGGCTGAAACAATTTCTATAGCTGTCAAATTCATACTGCACTTTTTTGACGGTCAAATTTAAGCAGAGCTGTGGCTACCTGCCAATTACACCTCTCACGGTGAGGTCTGACAATGAGTTCTACATTCCTCCGCTACAGTTGCATATTTGACAGGGATAAGCACACTACTGAGGTTAAACCTTGTGACAAAATAATTACTTCATAATTTTTTTGTAGTATATATTGATTTATGTATTTACTCTGACACAGCTAATTCTCTGCGCTGAGAATAATGTATTATAATACAACTTATTTACAGCAGGTTGTAAAATAAACTATAAGTCTCAACAAAAAAGAATAATTTCTATTACTCTTCAGAAATAAACTAAACCAAAAGCTTTTATATTTTAGCCCAAACATTCATCTGTTTCATCATTTGTTTTACCGCCTGAAGAAAAGTGCAACGATCAAATTTCGTGCATAATATAATGGAATAATATGAGGGAGTTAGCTTCCTTCCTCACCCATCTAAAAGCGTTCCCGTGTCGTGCTTAATACCCCAGGAGCGAGAGGCAGTAACTTGAGCTTCGAGACTATGGCCAAAACTTTAGAGTTTTAAAGCCGTTAAATATCGTTAAACATTTTAACTAAACATTTGGGCATTAAACCCGGGGAAAAATCTAGGAAGTGTTATTGCCTTCCCTAGCGAAATGTAACTTTAATTATGCGACACCTTCAGTGCTCCTTAAGAACATACAGTGCAACATTAAGCCAGGACTAGCTGGCTTGATTAGCAGACACCACTCAGGCAGTCCATTATTACTGTCACAAATCTCCACGCTCCACTGTAGTAAGCCACACACCACTTCTTTCACTGTTGCACTGCAGTAAGCCACAGCATCCCGGCGCCACTGCAGTAAGCCACAACCTCCCGGCGTCACTGCAGTAAGCCACAACCTCACGGTGCCACTGCAGTAAGCCACAGCCTCCCGGCGCCACTGCAGTAAGCCACAACCTCACGGTGCCACTGCAGTAAGCCACAGCCTCCCGGCGCCACTGCAGTAAGCCACGCCAACCTCCCGGCGCCACTGCAGTAAGCCACAACCTCCCGGCGCCACTGCAGTAAGCCACGCCAACCTCCCGGCGCCACTGCAGTAAGCCACAACCTCCCGGCGCCACTGCAGTAAGCCACAACCTCCCGGCGCCACTGCAGTAAGCCACAACCTCCCGGCGCCACTGCAGTAAGCCACAACCTCCCGGCGCCACTGCAGTAAGCCACGCCAACCTCCCGGCGCCACTGCAGTAAGCCACAACCTCCCGGCGCCACTGCAGTAAGCCACAACCTCCCGGCGCCACTGCAGTAAGCCACAACCTCCCGGCGCCACTGCAGTAAGCCACAACCTCCCGGCGCCACTGCTCCTCTTGCATCGTCCACTTTCGTGTGCCAGAATTCTCTCCCCCTCTGAGTCACCGTGAATAACTATCACATATATTTTTACTACAAGGGAAACCTGGCGGTACCCGACCACTTGGCGCCCATGACTCCTCCACACACCCGTCTCATCTTCCTGCACACACACCCTCCCTGTCCCTTTCACACACCCCCTCCCTGTCTTTCACACACACCCCCCCTGTCTCTTTCATACACACACCCTGCCTGTCTCTTTCACAGACCCCCCTCCCTGTCTCTTTCACACTTCCCCTCCCTGTCTCTTTGATGCACCCCGTCCCGGTCATATTCTTCATCCCCCAGTACACACCTTCCCCATCTCTGACCAGTACACACCTTCCCCATCTCTCCCCAGAACACATCTTTCCCCAGTACACACCTTCCAAAGCACACAACTTCCCCATCTCTCCCCAGTACACACTGTCCTGATCTTTCCCCAGCACACACCTTCCCCATCTCTCCCCAGTACTCACCTTCCCCCAGTTCTCCCAGGACACATCTTGACCATCTCTCCCCAGTACACACCTTCCCCATCTCTTCCCAGTACACACCTTCCCCAGTACACACCTTCCCCATCTCTCCCCAGTATTCACCTTCCCCCATCTCTCCCAGGACACATCTTGACCATCTCTCCCTAGTACACACCTGCCCCATCTCTCCCCAGTACACACCTTCCCCATCTCTCCCCAGTATTCACCTTCCCCCATCTCTCCCAGGACACATCTTGCCCATCTCTCCCCAGTACACACCTGCCCCATCTCTCCCCAGTACACACCTGCCCCATCTCTCCCCAGTACTCACCTGCCCCATCTCTCCCCAGTACACACCTTCCCCATCTCTCCCCAGTATTCACCTTCCCCCATCTCTCCCAGGACACATCTTGACCATCTCTCCCTAGTACACACCTGCCCCATCTCTCCCCAGTACACACTTTCCCCATCTCTACCCAGTCCCCCATCACCTCACCTCACCCCATCACCTCACCTTCGCTATCTCTCCCCAGTAAACACATTGACCGTGACCACTAGTGGAGGGGATGTGTGCTGGGGAGCTCCAGTATTTCCAATCAGTTTGGGAGGGAGAAGCAAGCAACACCGCAGTGAAAAAGTGTATGTGAGTGAATGAATGGTAAACAGACCGAGAGGTGAGTGACCTGACCCTCTGAGTGACAACGACTTCACCGGCCGGGCAAGAGGACACACTCACCACCTCACCACCCGGGCAAGAGGACTCACTCACCTCACAACACTACACCAACAGTGACCAGGAGCCACCACAACGGCTGGCAGTGTAGTGGGCAGGTGAGTCACTATGCCATACTCATGTTAGTGTACCTGGTGTGTTAGTAGTGTGTCATAGGGACGAATAAGATAGCTATGGACCAGCCAAAGATATCAACCTAACCATATGGAAGAGGTTTATTGCATTAGAGGAACACACGAATGACAAGCTAGTGAAGGTCATTAGCATAGTTGACGTGAGTGGCAATGCAGGAAGAGCTGGAGGTGGAGAGAAGGATAAGGGGAAAAGAAATACTGGCACTTAAAGAAGAGGCAGCTTCAAGAATTACAAGAGGCGGTAGACAAAAAAGCATGAGGTTATTGAAGAACTAAAGGTAAAGCTTGACGGTAGTGATGAACTCAGCATTGCAGCCTTGAACAAAGTAGAAGAACTGAAGGATATAAATTGTAATAAGAAGGCAAGTGTAAACCGGTTACAGCACGGAATATTAACGGTGGAAGAAGGGAAGACAACAAAGGAAGTGAGAAAAGTAACAAAGAAAAAATTATACAAATAATGTAAATGAGAATTTGGGAGTAAGTCAAGATAAAACATTTCCTGAAGCAGCAAAGGGTTCAGAGGAAAAGAAGAGAATTAAGGAAAAAGTGTTAGAGGCTGTAAAAACTACCCACGTCATGATATAAACACGGCAGGAAGTACATTTGAAGTGAACGTTATTTTTATGAACAGCAACCGAGTTAAGTACATACTGGCAGAGAACAGAGATGAAACAAACGAGGAAAAGTACCATGCAGTGTTTATTAAACAGGTCATGTCTAAGGAGGAAAGGGATGCAGCAAAGGGAATCGAGCAAATGAGAAATGCAAGGAAACTAGAAAACGGCACAGAGCACGAGATAATACAAATCTCAAAACAGAAAGTAAAACTCAGGGAAATATTGGGGCAGACCAGCTTACCAATGTAACAGGGTATTACAGAGGGTGATAGCAGGGCTGCTCAACATAATGAGGCATCTACACAAAAGAATAGGCAGGAGTGGCTGGTCCACTCTATCCCTCCCTTCCCCTACCAGATACAAAAACACAGCCACATGAATAAACACTCCTGTGGGAAAAATAAAAGCAGCCCAGTTGTCATGAGTAGCATGAAGATCATTTACACAAATGCAGATTAAATTGCTAATAAAGGAATAGAGTGTCAGGGAAGAGTAGCAGAAGTACAACAGCATATGACTGCGATAACAGAAACGAAACTGACAAGCGTTATTGGAAATGAAATCTTCTCAAGAGGATATCAAGTCATAAGGAGAAATAGGTTGCACGGAAGGGGAGGTGATTTAGCTCTGTGTCTACAGCTACGCTGGACCTTTGAAGAGCTAAAAATAGCAAAGGCAGCTGACCAACAAGAATATATATTAGCTAATAATAACAACAATATGAGGTGTGAAAACACTGGTAGTAGTCATTTATAATCCCCAACCAAACAACAGAAGGCTTAGGGAAGAATATGAGAGATGCAATGAGGATTGTCTAGAGGTGATGGAAAAAACAACCACAATAGCAAGTGAAACAAGAACTAAAATCCTAATACTGAAGGACCTCAACCACAGGGAAATTAGACTGGATAAATAAATATCCCCCACCGGGATGACGAGACATGGCAGAGCAAAGCTGGTAGACATGGTAGTGAAAAACTTCTTAAAGCATCATTTTGCAGAGCCAACAAGAGTAAGAAGAGAGAATCTACCCAAACGCTATACTTAGTGTTTTCCCAAAAGGAAGCAGATGTTGAAAAAATAGAGTATGAGGTATGGTTGCTAGGTGCTAGCGACCACTGCTTCATCATGTTTGAATACATAGTGTAGCTGAAGGAAATGGTTTCACAAAGAAATTCGTTGAAGATGAAAAATTACAGACGCGGGGACTACAACAGGATGGGGGGACTTTCTGTGGTAAATCCAGTGGAAAAGAGGAATGGAAGGGAAAACAGCAAACGAGATGATGGAATTTATTGCTGGGAAATGTGTCGATGTAACGGAACAATTTATTCCAGTCAAGAAGGAGGTGGATGAAAAAAAGTAAAGTGAACCCCTGGTTCAATCGGCGATGCAGGAAGCTAAAGAAAGATGAACACTAGCCTTGTAAACATACTGATAAATAGGAACACACAACAATAAAGAAGCTCTAAAGAGAATAAGGAATGAATTCACCTGAATAATGAAAGAAGTCGAGAGGCAATATGAAAAAGACATTTCTGAATAAAGGTTAAAAACAACCAAAACAGTTTTGGTTGTTTTTAGCCATGAAGGCTAGCCATGACACCCATCATACAGTATACCAGTATACAGTATAATACAATATACAATACTATCATACATTCTAATATATTACCAACTATATCATTTGCAAATCTCTCATACAAATGCTTCCATCTGAGATGGGTGTATAAAGTATGTTCACTGTGTGAGCCAGGTGATCATAATAATACCTTGGTCGTAACACCCACCACTATACCCTCCTTTCTAGACCACACCATACGTCCCTGTCCCGACCACCATCATACTTCCCTGTCCCGGCCACCACTGTACTTCCCTGTCCTGACCACCATCACACTCCCCTGTCCCGACCTCCACCATCCTCCCCTGTCCCGACCACAACAATATATCAAGGTCCCAAATCCCAATATACACCTCAGTCCCGACCACCACGATACTTTCCCGTCGCGACCACCACCATACTCCCATTAGGGACACCACCCATGTTGGGATTCTCCTGTCCCAACCACAACAATACTGCCCCCTACCAACCACCAACAAACTCTCCTGTTCTAACCACCACCATGCACCCTTATCCCAAACACCACCATATTTTACTTTCCCGACCACCAAAACCCTATCCTGTCCCGACCACCAAAACCCTATCCTGTCCTGACCACCACCATCCTTCCCAGTCTCAACTACCACCATACTCCCCTGTCACTACCACCACCATACTTCCCTGCCCGGACCAGAACCATACTCCCCTGTCCCAACCACCACCATACTTCCCTGTCCCGACAACCACCATTCTATCCTGTCCCGAGTAGCATCATACTTCACTGTCTCTAAATAACCATACATCCCAGTCCCGACCACAACTATACTATTCTGTCCCGAGCAGAACCATACTTCCCGTCCCCGACCACCACCATACTCCCCTGTCCCGACCACCACAATACTCCCTTGTCCCCAGCACCACCATACTCCCCTGTCCCGACCACCACAATACTCCCTTGTCCCCAGCACCACCATACTCCCCTGTCCCGACCACCACAATACTCCCTTGTCCCCAGCACCACCATACTCCCCTGTCCCGACCACCACAATACTCCCTTGTCCCCAGCACCACCATACTCCCCTGTCCCGACCACCACAATACTCCCTTGTCCCCAGCACCACCATACTCCCCTGTCCCGACCACCACAATACTCCCTTGTCCCCAGCACCACCATACTTCCCAGTCCCGACCAACACCATATTCCCCTATCCCGACCACAACAATACTTCCCTATCCCGACCACCACCATCCTCTGCTGTTCCGACCACCATAATACTCCCATAACCCGATTACGACCACACTCTCATGTCCCGACCTCCACCATACTTCCTTGTAACGAGAACCACCATACTCCCCTGTCTCGACCACCACTATACTCTCCTGCCCGACCACAGCAATTCTCGCCTGTCCAAACAACCACTATACTCCCATGTCCCAACAACCACAATAATCCCCCTGTCCCGACCACCACTATACTCCCTTGTCAAGATCACCAAAATACTCCCCTGTCCCAACCACCACAATGCTTCCCTGTCCTGAACACCACCATTCTATCCTGTCCCGAGTAGCACGATACCTCCTTGTTTCGACCACCACCATACTCCCCTGTGCCGGCTACCACTATTCTTCCCTGTCGCGACCTTCACTATACTTTTCTGTCCCTAGCAGTAGCATACTTCCCTGTCCTGGCCACCACTATACTCACCTGTCCCGACCACCATCATTCTCCCCTGTCCTGATTACTACTATAATCCAGTGTTCCGACCTCCACCATGCTTACCTCTTCCCAACACCATCATACTTCCCTTCCCCTGTCGCGAACACCACCATAAGCTCCTGTCCCGACCACCACAATTCTTCCTTTTTCTGACCACCCACAAAATCTTCTGTTCCGACCACCACTATACTCCCTTGTCCCGACCACCACCATACTCCCCTGTCCCGACCACCACCATACTCCGCTGTCCCGACCACCACCATACTCCGCTGTCCCGACCACCACCATACTCCCCTGTCCCGACCACCACCATACTCCACTGTTCCGACCACCACCATACTCAACTATGCCCACCACCATCTTATTTTTCAGTTCGACCACCACCATACTATGCTGTCTCGACCATCACCGTACTCCCAGGTCCCAACCACCACCATATTTTCTTGTCCCGACCACCACCATACTCCCAGGTCCCGACCACCACCATACTCCCAGGTCCCGACCACCACCATACTCCCAGGTCCCGACCGCCACCATACTCCCAGGTCCCGACCACCACCATACTCCCAGGTCCCGACCGCCACCATACTCCCAGGTCCCGACCACCACCATACTCCCAGGTCCCGACCACCACCATACTCCCAGGTCCCGACCACCACCATACTCCCAGGTCCCGACCACCACCATACACCCAGGTCCCGACCACCACCATACTCCCAGGTCCCGACCACCACCATACACCCAGGTCCCGACCACCACCATACTCCCAGGTCCCGACCACCACCATACTCCCAGGTCCCGACCACCACCATACTCCCAGGTCCCGACCACTACCATTCTTCCCTGTTTCGACTACCACCATACTCCCCTATTTCGACCTCTGTGTAATGATTGGTTTTTAAATCTACTCTGTTTCGGTGAATAATAAGCAGAAGAAGGGAGGAACAAGTAGATGATGAGATGTGGGTGGATAGAACATGGGGAAGGTTGAGGGAGAAACGGAGGTAGAGGGAGGTGCGCGGGAATAGAAAAGGAGAGCGAACAGAAATATGAGTAGAGAGAGTAAGTAGGAATGACTCTGCGATTTTATTTTATTTATTATAAAAGTATAGCTTTGCTGCCACTATCCTGTTAGTTCTACAACATTTTCCGCAATTACTAAATAGTGCGCCAGGAAGCACCATTCTCTGAGTCTTCTATATAAATAAAAATGTAAACGTTCGTTTGTTCAAAATCGCTAATCTCTGAAAGTTCTTTACCAATTACTTTGAAATTTTCACACAACGTTCCATTCACATCCGAGCGGGTTTTTATGTACATACTATATAGATGTCACGTCTGTTTCGGGAAAAATATGTTTTTTTTTTAAACTGTGTTTTTCAGGTGATTTTTCATGAAATCTTCAAAACCTCTTTACCGATTGCTTTGAAATCGAGGGGAAATTTTGACCCAACGTTGCATTCGAATAAGCGTGTGTATTTATATATGAATTATATACATGCCTCACCTGTGACCGGAAAAAAACATGTTTTACTTGTTTTAAACTGTGCCATCTGTTGAATGTAAGAGCAACACTCGCTTTAATCTCCGAAAGTTCTTCACTAATGCTTTGAAATTTTGACACACCGTTTCATTTGAATACGCGCATTTTTATATACCTACTATATAGATGCCACACCTGTGACAGGTAAAAACATGCTTTTTTGAGAAACGGCGCCATCTGTTGCACGTAGGAGCAACACACGCTATGCTATATATGTTACAATTCCATTTCAATGTTTCCAATTGCATTAACAAATTGAATTTTCTTATATTTCAAAATATTTTTATTTTGATTTTAAGTTTTGTGTGACATAGCATTGGAATGAGTTGTGTTGTTTACCATACCGTTTATTTCGTGTGTGATTTTTTTTTCATTGTTTTTCTTTTCGTTTTTTTAATTGTTTTTCTTATATTTTAGTGATGGGAACATCAGCAGCCAGATTCACGAAACAGTTACGCAAGTACTTACGAATGTGTACATCTTTCCTTAGTCTTTGACATCTTTGGTTACATTTATTAAACAGTCTACAAGCACGAAAATCTCCCAATTAACTGTTGTTATTGCTATAAACAGCCTCTTGGTGCTCAGGAGCTCATTAACTGATTAATAATTGTGAACAAAGCCGCCAAGGATTGATAACAGATGTACAGGTTCGTAAGTGCTTACGTAACTGCATCGTGAATCTGACCCCAGATGATTTGATGTTCCCAGATTTTTTTATGGGAACATCAGATCATTCGGGAATGCATCGGACGAGGGAGTGTTGAATGGTGGAGAGACCGAGGGGACGGGAGTAGGGGATGGTGGGGAAGACGAGGAGACAGGGGAGGGGGTGTAATAGTAGGGAGAACAAGGGGACGGGGGTGTTGGGGATGGTGGGGACGAGGGGACAGGGGAAATTAACCATCCAAAAGACCATCCTCCTGACCATCCTGACTATGCTCCAGCCCTCTTCCTGACCATCCTCTTGACCATCTTCCTGATCATCCTCCTGACCATCCTCCAGACCATTCTCCTGGCCACCCTCCAGACCATCTTCCTGGTTATCCTCTTAAGCATCCACCAGGCCATCCTCCTGATCATCCTATTGACCATCCTCCTGGTTATCCTCCTGAGAATCTTCCTGGCCATACTCCTGACCATCTCCATGACTATCCTTCTGACCATTTTCCGGACTATCTTCCTGATCATCTTCATGACTATCCTCCTAAACATCCTCCTAAACATCCTCCTAACCATCATCATGACTATCCTGACCATTTTCCTGACCAACCTGACCATTCTCCTGGCCATCCTCCAGACCATCCTCCTGACCATCCTCCTGACCATCCACCTGGCCATCCTCCTGACCATCCTCCTGACCATCCAACTGGCCATCCTCCTGACAATCCACCTGGTCATCCTCCTGACCACCGTTATGGCTATCCACCTGACCATCCTCAAGATCATCTTCATGAATATTCTCATGACTATACTCCTGACCATCCTCTGGACCATCCTCCTGGCCCTTCTCCTGACCATCCTCTTGACCCTTCTACTGACCATCCTCCTGACGCTTCTCCTGACCATCCTCCTGACCCTTCTCCTGACCCTCCTCCTGACCATCCTCTTGACCATCCTCCTAACTATCCTCCTGACCAATCTCGTGACCATCCTCCTGATCATCTTCACTATCCTTCTGACCATCCTCCTGACCATCTTCCTGACCATTCTCCTGAACATTCTCCTTACCATCCTCCTGACCATCATGCTGACCTTTCTCCTGCCCATCCTCCTGGTCATCCTCCTGAACATTCTCCTGACCATCCTCTGGACCATCGTCCTGACCATCCTCCTAACCGTCCTCCTGACCATCCTCCTAGCCATCTTCCTGATCATCCTCCTGACCATTCTCCTGACCATCCTCTGGACCATCCTCCTAACCATCTTCTTGACAATCCTCCCGACCATCCTCCTGACCATCCTCCTGACTATCCTCCCGAAAATCCTACTGACTATCCTCTTAATCATACTCCTGACCATCCTTCTGACCATGCTCCTGACCATCCTCCTGACCATCCTCCTGACCATACTCCTGATCACACTCCTGACCATCCTCTGGACCATCCTCATGGTCATACTCCTGAATATCCTCATGACCATCCTCCTGACCATACTTCCGTATATCCTCCTGACTATCCTCCTAATCATACTACTGACCATCGTCCTGACCATCCTTCTGACCATGCTCCTGACCATTCTACTGACTATCCTCCTGACAATTCTCTTGGCCATCCTCTGGACCATCCACCTGACTATCCTCCTGAACATCTTCCCGAACATCCTCCTGACCATCCACCTGACCAACCTCCCGAACATTCTCCTGACCATCCTCCTGTCCATCCTCCTGAATATCTTCCTGACCATCCTCTTCCCCCATTCTCCTGAAAATCCTCCTGGTCATCCTCCTGAATATTCTCCAGACCATTCTCCTTACCATCTTCATGACCATCCTACTGACCATTCTCCTGACCATTCTACTGACTATCCTCCTGACAATTTTCTTGGCCATCCTCTGGACCATCCTCCTAACGATCCTCCTGATCATACTCGTGACCATCCACCTGAGCATCCTCCTGACCATCCTCCTGATCATACTCGTGACCATCCACCTGAGCATCCTCCTGACCATCCTCCTGATCATACTCGTGACCATCCACCTGAGCATCCTCCTGACCATCCTCCTGTCCATCCTCCTGAATATCTCCCTGACCATCCTCTTGACCATCCTCCTGATCATACGCCTGACAATCCTCCCAACCATCCTCCTGACCATCCTCCCGAACATTCTCCTGATCATCCTCCTGACCATCCTCCAGATCTTACACCTAACCATCCTACTGACCATCTACCTGACTAATCCTCCTAATCATTATCCTGTCCATGCTCCTGATTATCCTCCTGACCATCGTCCTGATCATACTCCTGACCATCCGCATGATCATCCTCCTGCCTATCCTAATATTCATACTCCTGACCATCCTCCTGACCATCCTCTTGAACATCCTTCTGACCATTCTCCTGGCCATCCTCCTGACCATCATCCTGACTATCCTCCTGCTCATACTCCTAACTATCCTCTTGACCATCCTCCCGAACATCCTCCGGACCATCCTCCTGACCATTCTCTTGAACCTCCTCCTGACCATCTTCCTGGTTATCCTCTTAATCATCCACCAGACCATCCTCCTGATCATTTTCCTGACCATCCTCCTGACAATCACCCTTGCCATTATCCTGATAATCTTCCTGGCTATATATACTCCTAGCCATCCTCCCAAACATCCTCTTGACGATCCTTCTGATCATAAGCCTGTCTATCATCTCAAACTTCCTCCTGACCATCATCTCAAGCATCCTCCCAAACATCCCCCTGACCATCCTCCTGACCATCCTCCTGACCATCCTCCAGACTATCCTCCTGATCATACTCCTGACCATCCTCCTGACCTTCCTCCAGAATATTCTCCTGACCATCCTGACCATCCTCCAGATCATACTCCTGACCATCCTGACTATCCTCCTGACTATCTTCCGGGTTATCCTCTTAACAATCCTCCTGACCATTCTCCTGACCATTCTCCTGACCATCCTCCTGACAATCACCCTTGCCATTCTCATGAGAATCTTCCTGACCATACTCCTAACCATCCTCCTGGCCATCCTCCCAAACATCCTCTTGGCCATCTTCCCGACCATCCTCACGATCATAACCCTGACCATCCTCCCAAAAATCCTCCTGACCATCCTCCTGACCAGCCTCCTGATCATCTTCATGACTATCCCTCTGACTATCCTCCTGACCATTTTCCAGACCATCTTCATGACTATCCTTCTGACCATCCTCCTGACCATACTCCTGACCATCCTCCAGACCATCCTCTTGACCATTCTCCTGACCATCCTCAGGACCATCCTCCTGACCATGTGCCTCACCATCTTCCCAAACATCCTCCTGACCATCTTCCTGGTTATCCTCTTAACCATCCACCAGACCATCCTCCTGACCATCCTCTTGACCATTCTCCTGACCATCCTTCTGACCATCCTCCTGGCAATTCTCCTGAGAATCTTCCTGATCATACTCCTGACGAATTTCCTGACTATCCTCCCAAACATCCTTCTGACCACAATCCTGACCATCCTCCTGATAATTCTCATAACCAACCTCCTGATCATACTCCTGACTATCCTTTTGAACATCATCCCGAACATCCTCCTGAGTATCCTCCTAATCGTACTTCTGACAATCCTCCTGATCATCCTCCTTATCATACTCCTGACCATCTTCCTGACCATCTTCCTGACAATCCTCCTGTCAATCCTCCTGATCATACTCCTGACCATCCTAAACCATCTTCCTGATCATACTCCTGACCATCCTAAACCATCTTCCTGACCTTCCTCCCAAACATCCACCTGACAATCATCCTCACCCTTCTCCCGAACATTCTCTTAATCATGCTCCTGATCATCCTCTCAACCATCCGCCTGACCATCCTCCTGACCATCCGTCTGACCATCCTCCCAAACATCCACCTGACTATCTTCCTCACCCTTCTCCTGAACATCCTCCTGACCATCTTTCTGATCATACTCCTGACTATCCTCCTGACCATCCTTCTGATCATACTCCTGACAATTCTCCTGACCAACCTCCTGATCATACTTCTGACAATCCTCATGACCATCCTCCTGACTATCCTCGTAATCATACTCCTGACCATCCTCCAAACCATCCTCGTGACCATCCTCGTGACCATCCTCCTGACTATCCTCGTAATCATACTCCTGACCATCCTCCCAACTATCCTCGTGACCATCCTCCTGACCATCCTTCTGACCACCCTCCTCGCCGTCCTGCCGACCATCCTCCTGACCATCCTCCTGACCGTTCTCCTGACCATCCTCCTGGCCGTCCTCCCGACCATCCTCCTGACCATCCTCCTGA